CCATTTGGTCTGGTCCCATACATTTCTTAGCGTGAATCCCGCTGGGACTAGCTATTAAAAAAACATGTAAAGTGACTAGACTGACCGTGTGACCGTGTCTGAGACCAGGACCAGATTTTTTGATAGTCTCATTATTAATTCAACTGATCCCATTACATGGTTTTAACATTAGATAGTAGTCTTATACTGTCTCAGTGAGACTTACTGTCTACTCTTGTCACATTTTTCAAATGAGATTATGATTTTCACTTCTCAATTTAAATTATTTTTATTGCTTTAAATGACTTTAAATCTCATTTGAGCATTATCAAAAAGTGTTACTTTTTAAAAAATTAAAAATAGTGTAAAAAAAACCTTAAAATGTCTAAAAATAGTAACTTTATGCCAAGAATGAGACTAAATGGGATCAAATGAGATCACTTTCTCATTTTTTTCAAGTCATGATTTCATTTTAAGATCTGATATATAGTCACTTTACATGTTTTTTTGATAGCCAGTCTCAGCGGCATTCACGCCAAGAAATGTATGAAACCAGACTAAATGAGATCAAATGTGAAATTCATGGTCCCGGCGGCCAGTCTAAAAGTGACTATATATCAGATCTTAAAATTAAACCATGACTTGTAAAAAATGAGAAAGTGATTTCATTTGGTCCCATTTAGTCTCATTCTTGGCATAAAGTTACTATTTTTAGACATTTTAAGGTTTTTTTTAGACTATTTTTAATTTTTTAAAAAGTAACACTTTTTAATAATACTCAAATGAGATTTAAAGTCATTTAAAGAAATAACAATAATTTAAATTGAGAAGTGAAAATCATGATCTCATTTGAAAAATGTGACAAGAGTAGACAGTAAGTCTCACTGAGACAGTATGAGACTACTATCTAATGTTAAAACTGTGTAATGAGATCAGTTGAATTGATAATGAAACTATCAAAAAATCTGGTTCTGATCTCAGACACGGTCACACAGTCAGTCTAATCTGATAAGATATAGTAATTAACTTCACTATTAATCTCTCTGAGAGTAAGAATTATAAGAATGTTCTGATTATTATAAACTAATTGAGTAAAGATATAATATTAAAATCTTGTACTAAAATGAGTACTGAACAAGTCACTGAAGCTTTTCTATAAAGTCTGTTCTATTAAATATATAAATTTCTGAGATCTATAGTATCAGATCAGAGCTATCAATTCATAAGTACTCTTTAAACAAGAATCTGTCAAGTTCTCAAGATTATATGCTGTTTATCAACTATCTATCACTCTGAAACTGATAATATATCAGAATGAATAATTCAGACTGTAAAGAATTATCTTTATAAGTTCTGCAATTATTTATAAGATAATTAATATAATCTTTCTCTACATGCAGAGATTGCTATCAACAGCTGAGATACTGTTTTAACAGATATAAGTCTGTTCTTTCTTACATATAATTATTATATAAAAGTATTGAATCTTCTAGAAATCATACATTTCACACTGAATTCTTGCAATTCAATTCAGATTGCTGATAATATAGTAATAAAGCTTTAAAATATCTGTGACTGAGCAGATATCTCTATGACAACTGTGAAATAAAATCAAGAGAATTAAATCAATATTTAATGAGATCTCACTGAGTAATATAAGATAGAAGACTTAATATAATTAAATCTCAAGAATATATAGATTATACATTTATCTTATACACTGAATTATTATCATATCAAGTATAAAGTGATAGAAGTTCTAAATAGTCATAACTACTATCTTAACACATTATCAGAAATTTATAATGTCTTTCATATAAGCTTACTTTATCATGCTGTCATTAATTTATTTTCTTCTTAACTGATTTCTGACTAACAGCTATCAGAGATTATAGAAGAAGATAATAAACCTGAATAAGAGATTAAAGACATTCTTAATCAGAGACTCTGCAGCTGCAGCTGATAATATTTTATAAAATAACTCAGTTATAATTATCTGATCTGAACTTCAAGTTCTCTATTATCTGAGACAGCAGCTCTTGACTGATGAGAACTAAATATAATCAGAGAAGAAATGAGACTAATGTGACAGACTGCATCTAATTATTATATAGACTATTTCTTTACACTCTATAGATTTCACTGAAAAACTCACAGAATTTCTATTCTTTCATCTCAAAGCTTCACTGTATACACACTGTGTATATCTATAAATATTCACTCTGATCACTGATTCTCACACTTTCTCTTTCTTTTTCTTCTTTAATGTTTTTCACTTTATTATATAAGATCTATAAATATTATACTGATCTATTCAGCGTAGACCTCTTACAATTAGAAAAATAAGTTCTAATTATATTTTATAAAATGTTTCACTTACTATTAATAAACTGACTGATATAAGTGTTATAATAATATTTGTTTTAAAAATAAGAGATTATTGTCAGAAATGTATATAATATAATAGACAAACTATGAAAAATCATTCAATAAAAGAGAAGAAGTAAGCATTTTTTATATTGTGCAAGGTCAGGTAATGGCACGGGCCACATTTGCGAGGTCAGCTTACATAACGAGGTCAAGTGGCGCACTTAGCGAGGTCAAGTTTTCTGTATACACAGTTTTCTGCTTCCTGGTGTGACTGGATTTGATGAGAGATGATGCGGTTTAGAAGAACATTTGACTGCTGGATAATAGTGCAGCTGCTTCTGAATACACTTACAAATGTAAGCAGCTCTAGCAGCTCCACTAATTATTTTACACATAAGGAGCCAGCGTACGCCCATAATCTTACGCTGGCTCAGGCACCTTTGAATCACAATGACAAGTCCCATCAGGCTTCAAGAGCAAATTGATAACAATTCTCCTGAGGGCGAGGGTAACTAACCAAAAATATTATTCCAGAGCGGGAACCTGAGCTCTCGGCAACTTTTGAACGGCGCCGGGCTATCTGAGAACTGCTTTCGAAAAAAGGGGCAAACCCTTTGGAGACTTTTGTGGCTGACTTTGATAACAAGCCCGCGTCTGCTAGCTTTCCAACTCTGGTTAGACTATAGGCCGACGGCGGCCCACTAATAAGCTATTAAACCTGAGTTTAGCGGAGCATTTCCAAAGACCTGGATCACCCTATTCAAGTGGGCGCAACCCCTTTTATCCTCTGGGACATGGGGAGAAGCTCAAGGTTTGCTCTTCTCGTTTCGAACAGTTAATGCCTAGACAGAACAAGTTCTCACAGCTCTTACCACCAATTAGCTGTGAGGGAGTGTGATACACATACATTTCCCGATGCCCAAGCTTTCCCGATTGTTGTTATTCGCAGCCCACGCCTTTCTGTGGAGGATATTTGAGATTGAGTATGCAATTGAGGAGACTCAATCAGTTAGTTATGGCCGGGGGATGGAATACTGACGCTGCTAATTAGCAGCTTCAATCTCGACTTGGCTCTCTTGGCAACTATTGCGCATTTCGTTACTGGGCGGGTTGATAAGAAACTGCCCAGTCGGTGTCGCTCGTCTGGTGTACGGAGTACGGATTACTGAAAAACGATTTATGCAGGCGTTTTCGGCCAAGCAACAATGATGTGATGAGCCTGCACACTTGCGGACGTTCAGGGCTTGCAGATGCCGCCAAGATCGAGTTATGACTGCCCGGAGTCCCTGGGTTATATTTCTTATGTATGTACAGAGTACGGGGATGTCCATGGACATGTGTACCAACCGCAAGATAGAGATATGAAGCATTATCACTTGCTACTAAGAGAATGCGATGGTCGGAGCTATATATGGTGTAGTGATATAGAAATTAGTTTGTTTTAAACATATTTCAGGATCAATATCTTTTCAAATTTTCAAAGGAATCAAGTGTAGCGATATCTGGGAACAGGAATCCAAAGAGGGACTGTGTATGCACCCTGTACGGGGTACATATCCAGCCATCTGGAGAATAAAATCGGCGAACTCCCCCCTGAGTTAGCGATTAGGACGCAAGGTCTTCCCCATCTTGTATCAGAGTGTGTGGTCAGTTTCAGCTTATCTTGGAAGAAGATACATATTTGAGACGAGATGTGTTTGAATGCAAATGTTATCTCTGCCGAGAAACCGAATGGATCTCCCTTTTTTCTTTTTCTTTTTTTTTTTCAGTCTCCCTCTGGCGGCCTTATTTTGTGATTTTTACCTGTTAGCTCCCAGAGATTTCATGTTTGAGGTTCAAGAACTTGATCACTGAATGAGGGACAGTTGAGACACTTGTAGGAAGAATATGATGATAGATCAATTGTTGCTGCAGAGTAATGTTAGCTCTAGGGATGTGTCGACAAGTCAAGCTACTGTTGCAGAAGCAGAACCAGCCTTAGATGAAGTTTGATCGGTCTTCTTCCTGCAGCTGCATGAGCGATATCCTGCTTGATGCCCAGCGATCATCACATCCTTGATATGCTTGGCTGGAGCACCGCTGGGAGTTTGAACGCCATAGGCTTGAAAGAAGATATCTCTGACCATGTGAATTAGAAAGATCGAAGCAAGTTTGTTTATAATTCTGTGTAAGTAAGCTTTGTCACCGGCTAGAATTCTTATTGCTCGTTCCCTTTGCTTTTATTATATTCACACAAAATGAATGATTTACTACTGTTTGTGAAAGGGGAAGGGGATGAGTACGAGCAATATCATTGTCTGGGTAAACCTTATGAGAAACTCTTCAAAAACTTTCGGATCTCTCAGAAATCCAAGCAAGCCACTCTGCGCCCAGAACGTCTTTGGCTTGTTGGGCGGATTTTAAGGTTTCGGGGACCGGCATCGTGTCAGAGGAACCATGCCGTCTATGGAACTGTGTTGCAATTTTTCTAAGTCGAATGAATAATCTTCCTGTCGGAAGAAAACAGTAACTAGTGGATGAGGTTTGACCCTTCCAAAATTCAGGCTATTGAATTGCAAAATTTTATTGGTCCTTGGGCGTTGGCATCTGGGGTTTCCCTCTTCTTGCCCAATTGCTCCTGGGAGTCGCCGAATCGGGCTCTCGCGTCCATCATGCAGCATCTGTTCAGCGGTGCCTTGGTGGGAGAATGCAATATATTATGCACGAAGGACGTCTTTGAGTTTGGCCTTCCAGGATCAAAAATGCATTATACACAGTCTATGCTCAGGGCCCTTATTGACCAGGATACTAGTGATAGCCGGGCCAGCCACGGGATCGTGATGGGCTGCGTCAGCCAGTAGCAACCGCCATTCGGGACTCCTGACTTGAACGCCAAAGCGTAATTCTCTCTTGCTCGGTTGCTGAGCCTGTCGTAACCCTTCTTAATTTTCTTGGCTTCGTAAGCTCGACAATGCTTGGCCGGGGAAGAACTAGCTGAATCCTGGGCCTCGAAAGCTTCTACTACAGCGAGGACTGAGAGTATCCCTTCTATTGGGGATAGCGGGTTCCGAAGCGTGAAAGGTTTTGTAAAAATTTCTAATTCCAGGCTAACTTTTCTTTGCCCTGCAAGGGGGTGACCTTGGGGCCCTCGACTGGGGAGGAAATTCCCAATTCCGCCACTCACAGTTGCCCGTTAGACTAGCTTGGGGGGTTTCCGCGCTGTAACCTCCAACTTGTGACGACAGCTTGAGAACCCCGTGCCCTCAACTGCGCTTCCGCCTCATGCGCCTGGATTCCAATTGATGCGAAGTTTCTTTCCTCCCCGCAGTGAGAGCGCGCGGATCATTCCTCGGGGGTCTCCAAACTGATGGCCGACCTTCATCCTACCTCACGTAGCGAGGTTGTTCATGATGAGGTTGGGGGCTTAGACGAGGGTCCGGCACGCTTAGTGGGCATAATCTGATACCGGACTGTCAGAGTCACTGAGCATACTAGAACCCAGGGGAGAAGAGTACGCTAGCCCAGCTTAGCGCAGAGACATTCTTGGGACGGGAACCGGGAGAGCAAGCCACCTTGTCGCCGTCAACTTTCGAGTTTCTCAAGGCAAGGGGCCTCGAGCGGAATCAGAGCAAAGCTAAAGCTACCGCTGTTCTCTCCACACGCGCTACCACCAACGTTGGAACGGCCAATCTTGAACCTAAGTAGACTAAAAATGTAGCCTCCACACCGGGTCCAGTCTAAGCTTCGGTTGTTGTGTTTTTGTACTTACTTGGTTTCTCGCTCCACTGCTCGCTCCCTCAGTAGGCTTCTCCACCAGACACTCGCCTCTCACTCTCTTTGCTTCTTCCTTCTCCTTTCTTGCTTTCTCATCTCTCTCTGGTAAACCCCAGGTAGTTTCTTGTTTTGCTTCCTTTCTCTGTCCATGCTTGTGCTGTGGGCTTTTCTTTCTTGTGCATATACCCCATAGCTGCCGTTCTGCCTTTGCCGGTAGTGTACTTACCCCGTCGATCTCCGTTTTCCTGGGAGAAAACCTGATTCATTAATCCCTCGCCTTGAATGAACTGGCCAGGTTTGCTGTCTGGTAGTATACTACCTTGAATATTCGTGCGAGTCGTTGCGGGCATCCATCGTGTTGACACTGAGTGTCGTTGCCCCTCCCGACGTATTCCCTTTTTGGGACATATCTCTCCATCTCTGCTGCTCGCCAACAACGCAGTCTGGATACTGGCGTGTACTGTCTGTCTGTCTGCCGCTGGACAATAAACTGGGCGAATAAGATAACAGCAGCATAAGTATCACCATTTAGAATGATAAACGACGCAGGCCGCCAAGCGAATTGACTGTCATCCTTCACTACCCCCGAAATCGAATCTATCGATACCTTCTCTTGTTGCTGGTACGTCCCTCGCAATCGTTCATCCGTTACTACATCGCACATTCCGCTTGACATATACTCCAATTGCCATCACCAAAGGATTCCGGTTTGAGTAAACACCTGATTACTTTTGTGAAGAAGTCGAATAATCCACAGGGGATCCTAACATCGTATCCACAGGTTTTCAATCGTTGACGATCAAACTCCCTCCCCGCATAAAACCGACCGGTTGGACTTCTCCAGTCCATGGACAATGTGTGATTGTATCCGTTCGCAAAGATAATAGAGCTCTTGTTATCAACGCTTCTCGGAGTTTAAAGGATTGACGTTTCTGGTGTATTATCCATGGAGATTCTTGATGACCATGTTGCTCCCCTTAACGTTCTGAAAGGCAAAGCTCATGCACAAATGCACATCGTGCCCCTTCCTAACCGCATTATCCCGAGCAATATGTTTTCCCCACTGCCATCACAGATGCATGTAACGCCCCCTCTAACGCCGCATAGCTCGCTGGAAGATATTGTTGAGCGGCGCAGTCATGACGTCTCCATATTCCACAATTACCTGCGCGCGTTCTACCCCTTCCAACCGAATGCAGGAGTTTCTTCATCGACGGTTACTCTACCCTTGGACCAAGGGGATATAATCCTGGTGCATTCAATTCATACCAACGGCTGGGCTGATGGTACTTTGCTGGACAGCGGTGCTCGTGGCTGGTTGCCGACAAACTATTGCGAGGCATACGACCAGGTTCCTATGCGACCCTTGCTAAAATCGTTGACTGATTTTTGGGACACTATTCGTGGGGGGTCCGTGTCCACCCTCCATCAGTTTACCAATCAAGATTATATGAGGGGACTGATAGCTGGTGTACGGTTTTTACTGGTTAGTAAACTTATTGTCCCTTCACCTCAACTCCAACTGATCGAGATGACTAGGAAAAATCCGAATGCTTGACACGAGATTGCCACTTAGTCCAGAAATTTGATAACTTGCGGAGAAACAGAAAGGCGCTCCTTTCAGATCTGTCCTCCTTGGTAAAACTAGCAAAAAAACTACAAGATGTTGCGAATGGCGGGGAACTTGATGGGTCTCTGGACACGATCTTCGACCAGATGCTGTTCAAAGCTTTCAAAATCATTACCCGAGGAGTACGGTTCCTGGATGTCTGGAATGAAGAGATTGGTCTAAGTAGAGCCATCGCAGAGCTGGATGTTCCATCCGTAAGCCTCGGCCACGATATATACGACGTGCCATTAACACCACCTGTGGACGCGTCGTTCTCGCCCGGGCCTACTATGGGATCTACGGTTTCCTCTGGTTTATCCTTTAGCATCAATGGGGTCAGCACCGATCTAGACCAAGGGGACTACTCGGAGGGTACCCACGGTTCAATCGAGCAGGCAGGATTGTACAACGCCCATAATGCTCGAAAACCGCAATCCATCCAGCCCAAGAGGATATCTATTTCACACCGTATATCTTACAACGGATCATCCTCCACTCAAAATCCTAAGCTTGCCTCCACGCTACTTGCCTCCGCCTACGATGAATTCCTTGGTGTGCTTGGTTCATTTATTGGTCTCCATCTTCAATCTCGGTCTTCGACCGAACTTCTTCTGACGACACAAAAGGCAACGCAGTCCTGTCGAACATTGCTCACGATAGTCGGAACTATATGCGAGCGGGATCTCCATCGTTCGGACCTCCTGGAACGATCTAAAAATACGTTGTATGATAGGATTACGGAGCTTGTCCATGCAACTCGGGATGTCTTTCGACCAGCAAACGCCACAGACGACGAGGTTGTATTCATGCCAGATGAGGGAAAGAGGCTTGTTGATGCAGTGACTGGGTGTGTTCGAGGAGCTGGCGACTGTGTTGCGAAGGCAAGATATATATTTGAGCTGAGTGGTGATTTTGAGCTAGAAAGTATAGGGCTCGGTATTACTGGATTGAATCCGGACAAGCATGAAAGCTCTACTGACAGCCGGTACATTGATGATTCGGAAGATCAAGCAAATGGAGATGACCAAATGGAAAATGTGGATGATGGCAATGAGGTCTCTGTGCGGTCGGCCTTGCCACGCATCCTAATACCAAACAAACAACTCCCTTTTACCCCGGACCTGACTGGTGGTGCTACTCCATCCTCTGAATACACCAGCGCAATGGCCCAAACACCAACCTCAGCGCTAGGCGAACCACTGAACTTGGATATTTCTTCATACGATCATCTTGCGGATGCCTCTGCTTCTTCTGAACATAGCAATGCTTTTGCTCCTTACCATGCTACTTCCCCTGAAGATTCCCATCCCTCAGATATGTGCTATGCCGGGACGACGGCGGATTTGACAAGTGTAGCAAGCGAAACGACTTACGTGGACAGTATTCGAGATTCGGAGGTGAGTACTGTTTCCCAGGCGTCGACTCGAGTCACAACACCCGATTTCAACAAACCACTCCCATCCGCCGTTGCCCACAGCAGCTTACAGAGTTCTCAGTCAACCCTAATCGAGGAAGGCGATGATGGGGAGAATTTGTTGGAAAAGACTTACGCCCAGGAGCTCATGTTCAAGGACGGCCAGGTAATCGGAGGTAGCCTTAGGGCCCTCATCGAAAAACTGACTGCTCACCAATCCACCCCCGATGCTCTTTTTGTTTCCACCTTTTACCTCACGTTTCGACACTTTGCAACGCCTACCGACTTTGCTGAAGCGTTGATGGATCGTTATGATTATATTGGGGATAATCCCGAAGCTGCTGGTCCCGTTCGTCTTCGAGTCTACAATATCTTTAAGGGTTGGCTTGAGTCACATTGGCGCCATGACTGTGATGATGTCGCTCTTCCCTCAATACTGAAGTTTGCTCGGAGCAAACTGATGCTCGTCTTGCCCTCGGCGGGGAATCGGCTTGTGGACCTTGCAGAAAAGGTATCCACTGTGCATGGCCCAGTGGTTCCACGGCTTGTGTCTTCCATGGGCAAAACAAATACGGCTGTTGGCCAATATGTTAGCCCCGATGTTCCTCTTCCACCACCACTCATATCTAAGAGCCAACTAAACCTATTGAAACAATGGAAAGCTGGGGGTCAGCCTATCACTATACTGGACTTTGATGCTTTGGAACTGGCGCGACAGTTTACGCTCAAGGAGTCTAGGATATTCTGCTCCATCCTTCCAGAAGAACTGCTAGGTGCTGAGTGGATGAAAAATCAGGATCTCTCGCAGTTAATGTCCGAGCCATGTCGACGTTGTCGACAGACCTAGCTAATCTCGTAGCCGATTGTATTTTACAACAAGAGGAGCCCAAAAAGAGAGCCGTTATCATCAAACAATGGGTCAAGGTCGCGTCTAAATGCTTGGAATTGAATAACTACGATTCTCTAATGGCGATTATCTGCTCCCTTAATTCCTCTACCATTTCTCGGCTGAGACGCACTTGGGAGCTGGTTTCACACAAGACGAAGATTTTGCTGGAACAATTGAGGGAAATTGTGGATGTTTCTAGAAACTATGCTGTTCTTAGACAACGGTTGCAGGGCCATGTGCCTCCATGCCTACCTTTTGTCGGAACCTACCTAACCGACCTGACCTTCGTGGACCACGGAAATCAAGACACACGAGCACTCCCGACTGGCGATGGAAGCAAATTGGTCATTAATTTTGATAAACATATGAAAACAGCGAAGATCATCAGTGAACTTCAGCGTTTCCAGATACCGTACCGACTTGCTGAAGTTCCTGAACTGCAGACTTGGATACAGGATCAGCTCGTTCGCGTCCGTTCTGCGGGAGAGAAAAGCTTTCAGAATTACTATCGACGCTCCCTAGTCTTGGAGCCCAGAGAACAGCCCCTCCAGCGTAGTAGCCCTCGAGAGCCCAACCCAGCTTTGGCTCGTGAAACTCCCAAGGACAAGTTCGATTTCCTCTCGTGGGCCCATAGTTCCAAGACGAAGACGGTTACTTCTCAGGGCTAGTTTTCTTGTACTGGAAGGCTTTATTCGCCATAATTGGTAAACAGACCCTCTTACGCGTTACGATTTGACGACCATGATACTCCCTTGATTCTTCTCTTTCCATCATTTTATTCGCACTCGTCAATAGTTTTTGGCCTGATCTTTTTTCATGTGTACACACCTTTCTACTCTTTTTTTTTTCAATTCAGATATCCCTTGGACGTAATAAATACACCCCCTTTTTTGACTTTTTTTTGCTTTTTTTGCTTTTTTTTTTTTTTTTTTTTTTTTGGCCCGGGAGGGGGGGCGTAGTTGATGGCCACTCTTTTCGGTTTCTCTCTTCACGTTTTTCTAACGGTATAAACTGGGAGAATGGATGTACAACCTCATTTCGGGAAAACATACAGCAGGAAAACTGAAGAAAAGAAGCATGGCATGCGAATGCCCTTAATTTTTCCTTGCGTTTTTGTATTTGGAGAACCATGGTCACACGACCCTGACCCTGGGCAGGAAGAGTTGCAGAGCGAATCTCTTATTTATTAACCTTGGTTGGACTTTTTGACTTCTTACTTTTAACTCGCATCATCCAGTCGCGTTGTTTTGTTGCTCTCGGAACGAGATGAAAACGCACATTCTGAAATTGGAGTTGGCACATACCACATGTTCACTTGAAGTGGACGACATCCGCATGTTTCGGTTTGATTTCAAGGACGGGGGTTAATAGGCATAAACATGTTAATGTTGTACGTTAGGCGATTCAATAATTGCTACTGTCAGATTCAAAAAGCTTTTGATTTTGAAAATTTCTTATCACTGTTTCAAGCCCCTGAGTTTCTATAGAAGAATCAACAGCTCTCTATTCTAGAAACACCAACTTTTCCATGCAAAAAATGCTGGAACATGACATCACAGGCACCTCATCAAAAATATTTGAATGCTCCAGCTCATACAGCTCAGATCAATCCTCAAATCTTCATTCTTTTTTTCATTCTGCTCTTTTCATACATTCTCTACAGTATTTCCATTCCTTATACTCTTGTCTATGTTCATTTTTGATCTCTGTGTTCATGGCATGTGCTGCTAAATGCACTGTAACATGATCTCATGTGATGTCATGTGCACCTCTTTGAATTCATGGGTGGATTGACCAGCTGGCTCTGCGGCCTGTACAGCTCTGATTAATCTGATAATGTTGATAGGGGTGATACGGGGTGGAAGAGAGTGGTGGGGGCGGTAGAGGTGGTGGTGGTGGTGGTAGAGGGGACTGGGCAAGCAGCAAGGCGAGTGTAAGCGAGCGCTTGATGCTTGTGGTGTATGATGATATAGTCTAGCTGGCAAGATTCTCTATATAGAATGTGAGAAATATAACTGCAGTAGCTGAAGCAACTATCAAGACTTTCACTATGAAAAATTCTGTCAGAAGATTTGATTTGAGCTATCACAAAAAAATGTTTTTGTAGCACACAAGTCTTGGTGTGCAGCTGCTAGGTATTGCAGAGCTAGTTCACATTAGAAAACCATTTCTACAGAAAGATCACAATGTAGTAGAATCAAATATTTTCATCATTATCATTCTTATCTATAAATGATTAATTTGTGCTCTGTAATAACTAATTTTTTATTTATTATTATTATTTATTTTTTTTTTAAAAAAAAAACACTTATAGAACTCATAAACTATTTAATTATTTTTAATAAATTTAATAGTCATTTCTAAGAGACTCTGAGTATGATTTAATTTTCTTTGAAATGAGATATTCTGAGAGTGTAAATATTAAATCTTAATATTTTTAATATTAAGTAACTTACTATTATCTCTGATCTGATATTTAAAAGAACTAATAAAGACTAACACTATAAAAACAGCAGTAAATAATTTCTAGAAAGAGAGATTTTATTTAGTAATTATAATAAATTTTTTTTCTTCTTTTTTTCTTCTCTTTCTTCTTCTCTCTTTTCTTTATTTTCATCTGTATTTTCATTTATTTCTCTATATTTATCTCTTTCTCTATCTTTATTTTTATCTTTATTTTTAATGTTGTATGCAATTCTCTGTTTAATAGAATAGTTTAAATTGACTGTAAAAACTGTAAAAATCTGAAGCTATATTTATACAGAATATAAAAAAAAAGACTATTTACAGTTAATTCTTTAATTGTAAAAACTGTATAAATTTATAACTGTGTTTATTATAAACAAGAAAATAAAGAATTTATAAAATTAATATGAATTATAAATAAAGAATTGAATCTTTGTACAGATAGATTATATTACATTTCTATAAAAAGTGTTTTATTATATTACAGCAGTAGAAATTGCAGCAATTGAACCTGTAATTACCTGCTTAATAAGTGATAACTATCTATACAGATCATTGCGGCTTTCTTTACAGGCGGTTATATAAGATGTGCATTTTTTTAACTAATTATATCACAGAATGAGACCTGCAAGATCTCATCTTCTATTCTAATCAGGTTTTGAAAGCATCTAACATATTACTTCGCTTCACTCCGCAAATTAAGTTTCAAGTACAGTAATGTAATCAATCACTCAACGCCTGCTTACACTCAATATCAGCCATTTCATCATCACAATAATGAAATATTTTCAATGATATTTTAACGATAAATTTAGATTTTAAGATGATGTATTATATGATGAAAATATATATAGAAAATTACATATAAAAATATACAGTTAATGCTGTGAATATTTATTAAGCTTAATAACTTATTTAAAACATGAAATCTTGAATAAAGATAGATTTAATAAGTAAGTAGTTATTAAAGCAGTAGAGATTATGATATTATTAAATTTCTTTAATAGTGAATTTATAAGTACTCTGACAGAGCTTTAAAAATATCATTTAATCACTGTTTATAAAATTAAGAATTCACTTTTTTAATTAGAAAGATGACTTTTAAATTCTTTAATCTTTTTTTTATTTAATTATAATTACTACTGTATAATAGCTTATTCTTTCTTCTCTTTTTACTCTTAAGTTTTTCTTACATCTCTAAGCTTCTTTTTAATCTGTTATTAAACAGCTCTTATAGTTTTATTTATATCTTTTTACTACTTTACTATCTGATAAGCTGTCTTTTACTTTATTCTCTTCTTTATAATATTTACTTTCTTCTATTTCTTAAGAATAGTATATTATAACTTAACATCATTTTTATAAGTCTACTTTTTCTTTTTAACAGCTTTAGAAGTGATTATTTTCTTATATATAATCTATATCTTTACTGATAAAAAGAACTGTGTTAATAATAAATTTAAAGAATTTAATAAGCTTGTTACTCTATTATAATTATAATATCTTCTCTCTTAATTAAGAGCTTACTATAGCTTTCTATTCTTTATTAGAAGAATCTCTTTATTAAGAGCAAGATTTTTCTCTGTATAAATTACTTAATTAAGATTATTAAATATTTAATACTGTTACTATTTAACTCTCTTTATTAATTTCTATATATTAATAATAGAAGTAGAGATTCTTGATTAATATTATATATCTAAGAGAGTATAAGACTATATTACAAGCTTTTTAAGAATCTATTCTAAATTAAATAAATATAGATTAGTAGTAGTGAATACAGATATAATATTTAAAGATATAACTACTTTCTTTTATATAGTATTAAATAGCTGTTAAAAGGATCTCTTTATAGTGTATATAAATCTTATTTCAGTTCTCATCTATTCATTTAGTTAATTAAAGTATGATTTACTTAATAATTCAATTATTTCAATATCTAATAACTGTAATCAGTATGTAGAATGAGAAGAAAAAATAGTAAATAGAATTTAATAATAATCTATATAATTGATAAATATTATATTAATATAAGAGAGATGATTATTGAATATAAAAAGTTTATATTCATACTCTGCTTTTTTTTATATAAGATTCAAAGATCTTCTTTAACTATATAAATTTATATTTATTATTACTTTATTTATTTTTTAATATACTAAATAAATCTGATTCTTTTCACTATTAAAATTCTTTAATTAAGTATTTTATATATTTCTTAATTCTTCTTAATATATAAAAGTAGATAAGAGTGAAGTAATTAATATAATATATTTAAGAGTATGAATAAGTTTTAATAGAAATTCTTTCTTATCAAAGTTGTAAATATTTCTAGATTTAATATTATATTAAGTGATTTTTATCTATTGCTATAAATTAATTAGTAAGAAATAAAAAATCAGTAGAAGAAAGAAATCTATTATAAGATTAAAATAATGCTTAAAATATATTAAATTATCTACAATCTTGTATTTTCAATCAATATTTTAAAGATAAAGTAACTTGATTATATTCTTATAACACTGATAGAATAATAATACTCAGTTAATTTTAATAGATACTTTTAGAATCTCAATAATGAGGTTATAAAGCATTTGAGATGTACAAGAAAAACTGTGATCTGTTAATTAATTAATACAAAAAAGAAGCTATTCTTCTTATAAATGTGTGATATTTGTATAGTGAGTAGAGCTTGCTTTCTTTCTTAATATTTAAACATGTCTATAATACTGTGATAATGTATATCAACTGATTTCATATTTTTTAGCAGTCTCAGTGTAATTAGAGATCAATTGTGTATTAAAATCATTAATTACTACTTGTATAACTGCTTCATAGTGCATGTTATAAGTGTTTGAAGATGAATGAAAAAATGAAGATTGAGCGGGTGTTGAGTGTAAGTGAGCGTTGAGTGATTAATTACGTTAGTGTTCAATAAGTCAGTGTAGTAGCGGCTCGGCGCGGAGAATCTAGTTATCAACCCCATTCTCTATTTAATAAATACAATCTTGACTAAGTATTTAATATAGCTTTATATACATGATTAGAGAAGTTAATTCAATAGAGAATATCTGTATACTGTTTCCTTTTTTAATATTTAATTATTTTATATCTGATTTTAATGACAGCCTGCATTCTATGCAGAATTAATCTTATTAAAGTCTGTATCTTCTTCCGTGTAATTGTATTTTATATCTTTTAT